AGGGGGAGTGATGGATGCCATTGTAGAAGAGCCTGTGGAATAGGAATACTTTTGTTGCAACCATCCTAGGAAAAATCCAGCTGCCATTCAGCAACATCCAGAGGGAAGAAGGAAAGAAGCTAGGACCAGGCAGAAGAGGGCCTGAGGAAAATGGGCCCTTAATGGGCAAGGTCCAGCTAGCAAAGCTATAACTATTGTTGTAGGCCAGAGAAAACAGTCCTTAACAGCTCAGGGGTACAGATCCTATGCACAGGGTTTGACAAGTGATTCTCATAGTAAGTGGGAGGTGGCACCACATCAAAACAATTCATACATTCTCCAGTGACCACCACCCAGCCAAGTAAAAGGAGATTTAAAAGAAAAGAATCAAAGCCTATTAATTCACCAGAACCATGGCAAGCAGTGAAAGGTGGCAGTGGCAGAGGTTAGCTAAGTCATCATGGTGACAAAGGAATCCATAATTAATACCTGGCCTAACCAAGAGACAGTTTTGGGCAGCAATGTTTTATACTAGGCTACACTGCACACAGAGGCTAAGGCTGCTAATGAGCCTCCTTTTGTAAAAATAGTGATAAATACTAACATTCATTAACAATTATTGAGCACTTATGATGTGTCAAGGCACTGGGCTAAGGATTTCACATACATTATGTCCCTGAGAGCTGGGTACTACTATTATGAGCATTTTTCAGAAAAGGTACTATGACTTAGAAAAATCATAAGCTAGCAAGTAGTAGTGCCACACCTCATACATGGAACTCAGTCTGTCCTACTTTGTAGAAGCCAAGCTCTCCCATCAGCCTAGGCCAACTCATGGAGCTAGTAGCAAAGGGTGAACACTGGGATGGGAACTTACACTGACTGATTAAATTCAAGCATTTTTCCACTAAGAATTTCTGCCTTCCATGACCAGACTGGGCAGCAGGGTGGGCCTTGCCTCCTAGGAGCCCATTCCAGAAATAAAGAGGCTGAGAGTTGCAAGAGGCAAGGTTAAGAAATGGGAGAGGAGCTACAGGTAAGGGTGGGAATGACTTGAATGTTTCTATAATTGAAAACTGGGTGAATGTGGTACTGTTACCCAAGGTGGGGAATGCTGGGGAAGAAGGTGGCTTAGGGAGGACATAGTGAGTTCATCATTGGGCACTTTAAACATGGAGGAATGGTATTATTTACTTTTGGACACAGAATACAAAAGAATACCATCTCTCTCTTGGATTCCTTACTTGAAGATAAAGAAAAATGTTATTAAAGACAATCTGACTCAATAATTTAGAGCCCTAAATATAGAATTTAGGACCACAAATGTAGAATTAAGGCCCCAAATATGGAATTTCATAAGTGGGAGAGACCTTAAAATTCATGCAGCGTCAATATCCTCATTTTACAAATAAACTGAATCTCAGAAAGGTTAAAAGTTTTTCCAAAGTCACACATCCAGTGTAATGAAGTAAGGTTCATTTGCCAAATCATAAATTGCCAAGAATTTTTTAATTCATTTTCTTACTTGGAAATATATGAACATTTTAAATCCCCAAAGAAGAACTGCAGCTATTTGGGGAAGAACCAAAAAAAAGCCCCACCATGGTTTGTGATATGTACGCAGCTCTGAAGGAGCCATTTATCCAATCACTGCAGTTGCCATAGCTCAGCTCACATCCTACATAAATACCCTGATAGCAGCAAAAATGCACCACAGAGAGCCAGCTTATTTTGAACACCATTTAGAACCAGAGAGAGGAGTAGACAGAGCCATCAATTATCATTTGGGACAAAAGGCAGTCAGTGAGAAAATCTGATTTTCAACCATTTAAAGTGAAAAAAAGTCCAAGAAAGATGTGTCTGAGGAGGCTTTAAAAAAATAATGATAAAAACAGCACATGGTGAGCTTAATATTGTATGGATTTAGATCAGATGTGATGTTAAATCTATATGCCAAGGGAAAGCATGAAAGACCTGTGACTCACTGATTCCCCTCACTCAACCCCAGCTTAATATTATTTTATTAGCTCATTATTGGTATTCTGATTAATGGAGCACTGTTAAAATTCAGTACATAAGCATGAACAGAGTAGAAATAATTATTTGAATAATATCTAAAAGACACCCTGACATAAGGATGATCTGGATGGCATCATCAAGTTGCCTAGACTATTGTAATATATATATTTCTTAAGTCTAGGGAAATAGAGAAATGGGAGGGAGATTGTGGGACCTAGGTGAGTCAATATAGGGGAGCCAAATAAAAATAAATATTTCTTTGAGTTCTTTTCTCAACAGGATGCATATTTGTACCCGAAGCAAGTTCAAAGTTAATTGCTTGGAATTAAAATAGCTGAGAAGTTCAAGGCCTCATGAACAGCAACCAAAACTTTCATATACAGAGCTCACTGGAATTTGGGTTAAGGCTTGCAATAGAAAGAGGGGAAAATGGATTGGGGCTCCTCTCCTTGCCCATGCCCCTGTTAATATGGCCAAGTAAAATTGACCCATGCCCCTCTCTTCCCACCCTATCATCCTTTGCCACTTTGGCCTTTATTTATGAATGTGAAAGGAGAAAAGTGGAAAGGGAGGAAGAAGTAAGAAGGGAGGGGTCAGGGGAAAGCAAAGATTAAGCAACCACAATACCTGAAACATCTGTTTCCAAGAACTGGAACCTAAAAATGGTTTTTCTATAGGTAGAACACCAGGCTGTTATATGCATGCTGTCTCCAATGCCAAGGTAAGGCCACATTCCTTTCAGGTTCTCGGGCATCTGTAGATTAGATTATGTCTTTGTGGCAAAAATGGACTATACTCATAGTATACACTTGTTACTAAGAAACACAGAACTACATTTCCCAGCACTCCCTGTTACTGGAGGGTGATTATACGACTAATTGTTACTAATGGAATGCAAACAGAAGTAAAATATGTCATTTTGGACCGGGGCTGGCATGAGGGTTCCCAAATGCACCAGGGTTTACATAGTTTGACTTCCCACCAGCACCAAAGGAGCAAATGTCCAGGTTTTGTAATTGGCTTGCCCAGATGTGCACTAGAAGAGGAAGGGGAAATGATGAGCTTGAAAACTATCAGCAATCTCATATTAAAAATTGAGTCAGACTCTTTATTACATTTACCCTTGATGTTTGACCAATGACTGATGCATGCCATGTTTCACTTAATTGAATGAACTTCTGTAAGTTGGCCATTATAGTGCCTTGTTCATTATCAATACCTAGAATTCTGCAGGGGATAAGGAATGTCTTGGTGAAGGCTTATATTATGGCTTTAGTATGTGCAGAGTGAAGCATGACATTCACTTATACATGTTTGATGCAAGACCTTCCCAGAGTTCTTTACCCCAAAGAAGGCAATGAATTGTTGCCCTCTTTGGGGTAAAGAACTCTGTCCAAAGAACCTTGGACGATGAATTGTTGCCATTGGCTGAGCCAGACAACCAGACCATTGGTGTTAGCCTATGAGTGTGTAAAATGTGCACATGGGGCCAATTGCTGACCAGGGCATCCATTGCTAATAGGATTGCTTAAAGGTCAGCCAATTCTGCTGAAGTCCCATCCTTGATCAGGTAAGATCTAGCTAAAGAATAAAAAGCAGCAACTTTCCCACAAGCTCTATTTTGTGTAATGGTGACAATACCATACATAAAGTGTACAAATTTCCATTATTGTTTATTCAGTTAATCCCAAAGGGTTTCACAGGTAGCCAATAGAGTGTTAGAAATAGGTGAATTCTAGTACCATAGCTTCTGCCAAGGAACTGAGAACAGGGGAGGTCACTGCCCCCTGCAGATGGGATGCACCAGAACACCAAGATGATTTGGCTCCATCTGGTATGAAGGAAACCTCAGTGGCCACACTGAGCTTGCAAGATGCTGCTTTCATGGCCCAATGTACAACAGTCAGCTGAGTAAGGAGAGTCACATGCTCAAGAGCCTTTGAGAACCCTCATCTTCAAAAGGGCCCCAGATGCAGCCAGTACTTTTCCCTCTAATGGTATAAAGCATGTGGATAAAGAGGGAAGTTTCCTACATAAAGGCATTGGCAATTGATGTCCATAATGGGTGGTCCAGAGATTCCAGGGGCCATGAGAGGAGGTCGCTAAAGCATCTACAGAGATGGAGTATCTGGGGGGCATTAACAGTAGTGCCTGTTTTCCTGCAATTTGTACAGATTTTGGAGCCTTTTGTTGTAGATAACCCATTCAAAATACACCAATATGTAACAGTATAAATAGTCTTAAGTAAAATTCATAAGTGAGAAATATACTGCCACCAGAACCCCAAAAAACTAAAATATGCTAGGTTTGTTTAAATGTTCTGAGTGCTGAGAAAGTTGATAGCTGTTTCTTGACAATGTCAGGAATTTAACTGATGTAACAGGGAATACCATGTGTGGGGCAATGGCTCATTCCCTTTTTGTGAGCTCATCTGTGAGTGTTTGTATGTCATGAATAAGTGTGTCAAAATAAGCTCCTCAGATGAGGATTTCATTGGTTTGATGTCATATGTGTGCTCCTAGAGAAAGAAACATGTTAAGATTTGGGGAGCAAGGGTTTGTACTACTGTTGGACTGTTGAGATATGCCATGGATAACCTAGTAAAAGTGAATACAGTCCCTTCAGAGGAGAAGGTAGACTGTGACTGAGAAGCTTTGCAATAGACACAAAACATATTATCTAAATCTATGACTGCAAAGTATTTACCAGTTGCTGATTGGCTAGAATAAGTAATTTCAAAAATATTTGGTATAGGGGTCTCAGTGAATGGGACCATGGAATGATGGTTGCAATAGTCTACTGTGAGGTACCATCCATTATTTCCAGGGGCTTTGGCTTATTCTTATTTCCAGGTTTAAGAATAAGCCAAATTAAGCTGTTAAATCAAGAAGTAGTCAGGATAATGAACTCTTCTCTAAAATATAGGGTTTCAATTCCTTTTTTTTTTTTCAGTTTTTAAACCAAGCTCTGGCAAGTTTTATTAAAGAAAAATTTTGCACAATTTACTTTTCACCAGTCTGTTCTGGCATGCTTCTAATGATATCAGAATCACCTGTATCAATGATAGCCAGTGTGGACACTCTGTAGTATTTTCCACATGCTGTGCCCAATTCAATATTGTTGCCACAGTAGTGATGGACACCAGTCTTGGCCAACATGGCATAGTAATCTACTTCAGATTTCCTCAGAGCTGGACAGTTGTTAGCAAAGATGACTAGTTTGGCTTTGCCTTGTCTGATCATCTTCTGAGTCTGCTTGTACCCCAGCACATGCTTGCCACTTTTCATAACAAGGTAGAGCCTGGAGTTGATCACCTCCAGCAACTTTTTCATCTTCTTTGTGACCACCATCTTCCTGCCTTAGGTGTGGGATGGACACCTACCAAGCGCAGCCTGGGTTTCAATTCTTTAGAGCCCTGATTTAATTAGGCCCCCAGACAGAACTCACCTTTATCTTGCATGTTTTTCTGCAACTGCAAAAGTGGAAACTATGAAAAGACTTTAGTTGCAACAGCTGGTTGTTTGTATGATTACTTCACCCTGCGAAGCATTCCAAAATCCGAACTCTCAGAAAGGGTGGTCTCTGAATCCACCAACTAGCCACGTGGCAGCTTGTTTTCTGTTTCATACTGTCCTTGTGAGTGGTGGTCACTTCCAGTTCTTTTGGGAGCTTACCATCCAAGTTACTTGATATCTACAACTGAACTTGTAGTAGCCTTGGAAACTCAAAGTGAAAAGGATTTATATAAAGGAAAAGAGAAGGGGGTGAAATGTGTTTCATTGTATGACTAATGCAACTTTCCTAAGGAGGAGACAGAAAGCTGATGACTCACTTTCTGCATTTGTTTCCTATTATAACATTTATTTATTGACATATGGCTGAGAGGTGTTGCCATTGATGAAGCCTCTGCCTGCTGAACAAAACCAGCCTAAACTATTCAGCAGGGTGAAAATTCCAGCTCTTGAATCTGGGATTCAGACCAACAGTGTCACATGTAGAACACCACTGACACAAGAAGGAAAGAAAAACAACTCTGAAAAACTCAACCATGAAAACTGAGTTAAGTAAAATAGTGCTGACAAGAGATTTTTACATTTTTGCTTAATGTTTTCTGCCTTTACTGCTGTTTGCATAATTAGAAGTATACCAGTTAATTTCTAATTACACATGCTGCTTATTGTTATCTTTGGAAAATAAAATTATGCACTGACTGGTGTGGCTCAGTGGACTGAGTGCTGGCCAGTGAACTGTAAGGTCATGGTTCGAATCCTAGACAGGGCACATGCCTGGTTTGCAGGCCAGATCCCTGGTTGGGGGCATGTGAGAGGCAACTGACTGGTGTTTCTTTCCCTCTGTTTCTCTCTCCATTCCCATCTCTCTAAAAATAAATAAATAAAACTTTAAAAACAAGAAAATTAAATTAAATACCACCCCTGAAGTTGTACAATTAGGAGGTATCCTTGGTGTATCTATAATGTTATTTAACTCCCAAAAAGGCCCAATCATTTGAGCCACATGGTCTGCATGTTTTGATGTTGGCTTTTTTGATGCTGGTTTTGACATTGTTTTTTTTTTAGTATGTTTTCTTGGTTATGATTTTACAGTTGTCCCATTTTTTCCCCTTTATTCCCCTCCATCCTATATACCCCCTTCCACCAGCATTCCCCCTGCCCTTACTTCAGGTCCATGGGTTGTACATATAAGTTCTTTGGCTTCTCCATTTCTTATGTTATTCTTAACCTCCCCCTGTCTATTTTATACCTTCTATTTATGCTTTTATTCCTTGTACCTTTTCTCCCATTGTCCCTCCTTCCCCACTGATAACCCTCCATGTGATCTCCACTTCTGTGATTCTGTTTCTGTTCTACTTGTCTGCTTAGTTTGTTTTTTTAGGTTCAGTTGTTGATAGTTATGAGTTCGTTGTCATTTTACTGTTCATGGTTTTTGATCTTCTATTTCTTACATAAGTCCCTTTAACATTTCATATAATAAGGGCTTGGTGATGAGGAACTCTGTTAACTTGGCCTTATCTGGGAAGCACTTTATCTGCCCTTCCATTCTAAATGATAGCTCTGCTAGATAGAGTAATCTTGAATGTGGGTCCTTGCCTTTCATGACTTCGAATACTTCTTTCCAACCTTTCTTGCCTGCAAGTTTTCTTTTGAGAAATCAGCTGATAATCTTATGGGAACTCTTGACATTAGTTTTTGACAGCTTTGACATTGACTCTAGTTGCCAAGACCCATTTCTCAGGAAAGTCACTTTCATGGCCTAGGTTTGTTGCTGGAAAACATGAGCTCCCATAAAATCGGATTCCAGAAGTCCCTATTACTTCTTAAGTAAACAAATTAATGGAACATTAACTTCAACAAAGTTCATCATATCAGTTAGGAAACTGTTCTTTTCCTACTGAGGATACACAGTGGGGACAGATGGAGACAGTAGGCATAGGAGCTGACAAAACTGAATTTGAATCCTGGCTCTGCCACCTCATCACTTACTAACTGTTTGACCTTCTGCAATTTAACTTCTCTGAGTCTGTTTTCTCCTCTGAAAGATGAGGATGATAACAGTATCTACCTCAAAGAGTTGTTATGAAAAGTCTGGGAACCGATGTGTTTGTTCTTAGTTTTCCTGGGTTTGTGCCCCTTACCACCCCATCTCATTCAAGTTCAGAGTCAGTTTTAAGTTCCTTACCTGCAGGTAGTGTAGGGAGGACTGGACTAAAAGCTAACATAATCTACAAGTTTCCTGGTTTTGGTTTCCAAAAGCTTAATACCCTAGGGTCTAAGAGAATAGAGAGCCTCTAGTATACAGAACAAAAGTTTAAGTAAAACATGAAGGGAGAAAGATTTTAAGAGCCAGACTTAAGCAAGATTTTTCTGGGAAGATATGAGGAGAGAAAAGGGGGAAATAGAGACATAAGACATTGTGTTAGTGTGGGCCTTGAACCTTGCTTCCCAGGAAGAAAGACACTAAAGATGGACCAGGACCTCTCCAGGGATATAAGGATTTGTCCTTCTAAGCAATCACATATGTTTATCATACACTATCTGTCTAAAATATGTTACAGTCTTTCTTCCTTCTTAAACAAAGAACTTTTTCTTATTGGCTTAGTCATTATGGGCATTCATTTCCATGGAGTGCTAATGAGTGATGCCCTCAGGTTCTTCCAAATTCTGTAGAGTCCATTGTCTCTGCACTCCATAGCTCCAGACTATTGTACTAATTGATGCCTGAATCTCCTTCTTTTTATATTTTTATGTTATCTCCTGATAACAGGTAGTCTCATGTCCAATGTATCCTCCAGCCTGTGGTCAGTCAGTATATCTCTCTATAGGACCTCCTCTCCTTTATTCTAATTTTATTTTATAAACTTTGTATGAGCTTAGGTGTGAAATAAAATTTTTTAGAATTGATTATAGAGTGAGGTAAACAGATTCTGAGTGAGGGGCCAAGGGATTTAATAATGAAATTTGTAATACCTATTTTGACTGTGTTATGGACTTTAACAGTGCTCTTCCCACCAAAAAAAAAAATCATACATTGAAGTCTTAACTCCCAATGTGACTATTTGGAAATAGGGCCTATAAGGAGGTAATAAAACTTAAATGAGGTAATAGTATAGAGCCCTAATCCAAAAAGACTGTCACCTTATAAGAAGAGCAAAAGACATCAGAGCTCCCTCACTCTCTCTACACCCACACAGAGAAAAGGCTATGTAAGGACATAGGGAGAAGGTGGACATCTGCAAGTCACAGAGAGATGCCTCACCAGAAGCCACCTTAATCTTGAACTGGAAAGTCTCCAGAACTGTGAGAACATAAATTTCTCTGTTTACATCACCCAACCTATAGTAGTCTGTTTTGGCAGCCTAAGCAGATTAATACAGACTGCATAAGAAGTTACTTTAAGAAATTGAAATAAGTAGAAAAGAAAAAATAATGGAGAAACTCTGTTATGAGACTTACTGAATGAAAAATATAAGGTAAAATTCCAGTGCCACAAATGATAATTATCTGCACATTTGTGCATAAGTCCTTTTGATAAATGTAAAAGCACAACTTATTAACACTCTCATGATAGAAATCAAAGTAGGAAAAAGTGTATTGGTATGAAGTCCTTTCAGTACTATGTTTTAATTCAGTTCTAAACACATCCTCATAATCATCACTACTAGTTTTCCCAATGCACCATCAGAAAATGTAATCATTTTTGTTCTCTTCACAAGAAGTTCCTGGTGAAGTGCAGAAAAAAAAACATAAGCTCCAAATATTAACTGGAAACTTTGTTTTCCTTCTTTTCTTTCTTTCTTTCTTTCTTTCTTTCTTTCTTTCTTTCTTTCTTTCTTTCTTTCTTTCTTTCTTTCTTTCTTTCTTTTTCTCCTTCCTTTCTTCCTTCCTTCCTTCCTTCCTTCCTTCCTTCCATTCTTACTTTCTTTTTCTTTACTTTCTTCCTTTCTAGTGATTGTACTGATTTTATTACTTTTACTAAACTATTTTATCTTCCCACAATCAATGCAAAAAAAGTTTTCTTTTTTTAAGAGAATACCACTAACTACTCAAAAATAAGTGTGTTAAGAATTTATAGTAATCATTCACATGGGCTCATCCTCACTACCATGAATATGTTTTTGTCATTGTTTAAGAAGAAAAAAAGCTAGCTAACTAATCCTATTCATTCATCATTTCCCTCACAAAGAAGAAAATAACCATGTGAATTTCATCTGAATTCTTCTAGATGATGGATGGCCAACTACAGGTCACATGTCAAATCACAATTCTAACTGAAACCTAGAGCCAAGAAGGACTATAGAAAATTATGAAGAAGAAGAAGAAGAAGAAGAAGAAGAAGAAGAAGAAGAAGAAGAAGAAGAAGAAGAAGAAGAAAAGAAGAAGAAGGAGGAGGAGGAGGAAGGAGAGGGAGTGGGAGGAAGGAGAGGGAGTGGGAGGAAGAAGAAGGAGAAGAAAAGAAAAGAAAAAAGGAAAGAAGAAGGAAGAGGAGGACAGAAACTGGGGAAGAGAAAGAGGAAAAGGAAACATGCAACAAAAAATCTTATGTGCCAGCAGGGCCTAAAATATTTCCTATCTGTCTTTGCAGAAAAAATAATTTGTCTGATAGTATAACTATGTAATGACTTAGCCCTAAAAATGGTAGAATAATGATATTTATATGAAATCACAATATAGGGCTAAGTAGATTCTGTGCACATTAATTTCTCTTATAGAGAAATAAATTTCTCTTATAGAGGAATACCAGATAATCAATCTCCACTAATACAGTCTATTGAAAAGTGAAACTACTTGGGTAAAGTGCTTGTGGTTAATCATCAATATATCCCTCCCAATGC